TCTAGCGTGTTAGGATACGTTAGCCTCTAACCTAGGGGGTTCTATTATCCCGCCGAACGTCTTTATTTTCCTACCATTATTCTGTGTGATTGTAACAAAAGAATAGGAAATATTTAGAGAATATCCTTAACTAAATACTAGTTATCCTACCCCCCACTATCTTCTAATCCTTTATTGAGGTCCCGCCAAGTCTTCGAGGTCCCGGGACCTAGCTGGGTTCCTAGGGGTCTCGTTTTATGCCGGGTCTCGTCACGTGAACCTGAGGTCCCACCAAGTCCTCGCTTCTGCCGGGTCTCGTCACATGATGTCGGTGTTCGCTCGTTCCGAGCGGCGTCGCTGCCGTTGACTCTTTGTCCTTTACCAGCCATATTCATCGTTGCGCCATCCTTTGCCGATTCCCTATCGTGCTTCTTTGTGATCGTAACATCAAGTGGATGGGGGGCGGAACTTATTAGTCTAACCTTGAGAAGACTAGCCCAGTTCGGGTGGATCTGCTGACACCCTAATTAGGTCATTACATGCTCGGCATTGCTGACATTGCACAGCTTCGAGCGCTTTATTAAAAAAGCTTCCTGGGCGCCTCCTATTGTCTTTGCGCTCCCTATCGCATCATCATCAAAATTATGGCATCTTTTCCTGATTGTCCTACAGAACTCATCGACTCTATTCTCCAGCGCTTGTCGTTCCGCGACCTACTCGCTGTGGGTGTCGTGAGTAAGAGGCTACATAAATGCGCAACGCCGTTGTGTTATTCTCAGATCGACCTCAGTATACGTCGAGATAATCCACACTCTATAATTTACCTTTGTCGAAGCATTTTCAACAAGCCTGAGCTGGCGGCCCACATCGACTCTGTTCGTCTACGCGATGGCGAACCGGCGGATGGCCGGAGATACTGTAATATAAGCGCAATACCTAAAGCTTCTCCACCACGGCCAACCAATAAGGATGGGATGTCTAAATTTGTGACCTTCGTCTCGCATTCCGGTCTTGCCTACGCCGACATTTGGACAGAAAAATTGCGTATAGGCGACCTGAACGCTTTTGTCGCATTATTCTTATCAAGACTGCCCAATCTCAAAAGTTTCCGCGTCGGAAATTTGGTCGTCTTACCGGACCCCGAGAAAAAGGAACTCTCCAAGGATCCGCCGACAGCAGCGCGGGACATGGAGAATCAGTTCCTTGGGAAGATTTTCCAATCCGCTATTTTTGACCCATCAAATCACGGCATTTCTCGATTCCAATACCTCGAACATATCTCATTCCCTTGGTCTATGACCCCATGGCCTGGGAAAAATCCGGACTTCTGCAAACCTGAGGACATGATGGCTCTTCTAAGCCTTCCATCAGTGTGTAGTATCTCAGGCTGGTGTCTAAACCCTGAATCGCTCCCATTCAGTTGGCCAGTAGGCCCACCAGAGCTAGCTCATCTTACATCGCTATCTCTAACACATATCCACGTCGACTTTCTAGCACAGATTCTTGAGAGAACTCGGGCTCTAAAAGAGCTACGCTGGGTCTGGAAACACACGCCCGACGTCGATCCACTGAATACTGATACAATGAACCTGGATAGATTTGTTGAAGTATTACTTGCAGTCCAGGACACTCTCGAGGATCTCAATATCAGTGTTGACATAATATGCCCGTGGTTTAATCCCGAATTTCAGAATCTAGAGATTCGCGGTTGTCTGAGTGGTCTGCGTAATATGGTCAACATTAAGCGATTCAAGGCACCATTCGGATTGTTGCTTCCAGACTGGGATGGCCAGAGAGACTCAACTACAAGAAGACTGGAAGATAGCATACCTCCTAATGTTGAGGTTGTGACAATTAGCGATGACGACACGAATGATTACTTGCCTTTCACTGACCGAGAAGACGAATGGCCTAAGCTTAGATCCTGGCTTTCAGAGACTGCATGGAAGACTACACCGCATCTTAAGGAGGTCCGATTATTCCTCCAGAAAAGCTCTGATGCAGTCCATTTCAATAGGCTTGACGAGCTTGAGGCAATCTTCAAAGGAATAGATTTGCCACATAAACTCATCCACGAGAGCGAGACGTCGCACCGATGGGACTGGGACATGTAGAATAGGGATATATAGAGATGAACCAACTGGAAAAGTGCATAAGTCACCCTGATATTTTCCTTGTCTTATTGGCTACCTGGCTCTTAAAAGTACAGGAATACTCGAGGCATCACGTAGGGTTTAAGCCGCAGACTGACGATACAGTCTGAATTATGTCAAGCTTACCTGTTGAGAGTCAAGCAGCTGGTCTATTATGCGTTGTATCTGGTGTTCACAATCGTCGGTGAGGCGGGCGATTCTTGAAATGTTCAGCCTGTATGCCTTGTTGGACAGCTTTTTGAGCTGGCTTCTCACTAAGCTCTAATCTAATTGTATTCTCTGAAGCAGTGTTCTCCCATATCAATCGCTGCTTCCACGCTTGATTGCTGGTCCGGAAAACTGACCCAAATCGACGTCCCACCTTGAATTTCACCTTGTTCGACAGGCTGATACAAGCCATCTAGATGAAAGACTTGGAATTAAGTACTAAAGTAAATGAGAGAGATTGAGACTGGAGAATATGGCAACATTATATACAAGAAAGAATAAAAGCATCCGTATGCTGATGAAGCATTTGAACAAGACCTTGAAACCTCCACACCCCTGACCAACATACGGTCCGCAAGATGTTAGCTGACAAAATTCTTCCTTCATTGTTGCGCCGGAGCCGCAAGAGATAATCGATCTAGAGGTGTCGTTTCCCAGCCATTCTTAGAGTAGGTAACAGCCGCGTTTCCGTTGTTTGTCCAGGTAGTGGGGGGGATGTGTCTCTCGATGAGCTTTTTAGGGCCAATCAACAATTCGCAACCACCGCCCTGTACGTTTCGAGTGAGCTATAATCTTTCTGGTAGCGAGGCAATCGAAAAAAGACTTACTTGGGGTGGATTACAAGGAGAATAAACTTCAAGGTCTTCTTCTTTGCATTTGTAAACGTTGCTGTTCCTTACTTCATCATTACCACATCTGACGGTAACGGTGACGATATTTTGCGCACGGATAGGTTTTGTGGGATACAGGTGTTTGAAGGTTTGCAAAGCGCTCATCTCTCCGCACTTGGCTTGATTCGACTTGTCGTCAGGGTGGACGCAGGCCCTGACCAGTTCGTCCAAGCCATTGCCTTGAGTGTACGTAAGAGCGCTTCCTCCTTTTTGTGAGCTAGCCAGAATGATTTGGTTGTCGAAGTAGAAAGCTGTCAGTACTCCGGGGAGAGCCTTCTTGCCAACTTCGTACAGTTCGCCGTTTCTAAGCATGTCCATGAACCCGTCCATCGCAATCTTGATGAGTTGGAGGTCGGAGATTGGGTGAGACACCTTGTGGTGTGCCATGAAAATCAATCTAGCTCCCCTTGAGCCCGAATTCGGCGTGTTTGGGCGTTGTGGCTCAGCATCGGCCGCGGCCAGCATTTGGTCGAGCTGAACGTCGACTCTGCTTTCGCTTTGCTTTTTGTACTTTCTCACATCGGTGCCTGTAACGCATTGGAAACAAAGAAAAACGTAGAAATACAAGGCGAAAATAGAGTGCATTTCCAAGGACAAATGACGGTATCCAGTACCGCGCGCAAAAGAATGTGAAGTAAATGGATTTAATATCAATACACTCACCCGAGTAATGAGAGAACCCTAATATACCTTGAGTCTACTCAAGATACTCTATTCGAAAATCTCACGGAAGTCTTCTAACCTTGCCGAATCCGATGTCCGGATCATCCCTGGCCCCATACGGACGCTGACACCCCTGCCACTCTCACGTCTCTCACACGAGCATAAACATTCGAGGTAATGCGCAAGATCTCAGTCCCGACTTGTAAACAAACTGTGCGGTACTGAGATTACTCATTCGAAATCGAGCTTCCAACGAATCGAAAATATCCAAAATTGTTTTCGCAATTCCGCAAGAGCCCAAGCCTGCCGATCAACTGAGATTGAAGCTTGTCAGCCTGATAACCGAGCCGAATTCTTCACTAGGCTAACCCACGTGTTCGGCGGCACAGCATGCACTCGAAACGGTGGTCACTTAATGAATGCGGCGGCGTAGCGTTTGAGATATGAATCAAGCACGAAATCTGGCGGCACAGCGTTGAGATCGGACATTTTCCACAGCTGACTGCCCGTTTTGAGCTATTAGAACAAGGATATGCGATGCGCTCTTCAAAGTCCATGTAAGAGTCTGATACGTTGGCAATCTGCAATGCTCTCTTTGAGAGCATGCGATGATTTTCGGAAGTCGGACGTAGCGCTGAGCGGGAAATAGGTGCTGCAGGGCAACAGTATCATTACCGCTAGAATAGATCGCAACTGATCATTTCCTGGGCATATATCATCAACGAAATCTCCTGCACGGATTTTCTGGCTCGCATCGCCAAGAGGGTCGCTATATGGCCTGAAAATCATCTCGTCTTGCTTGATCGTGGATGATTCACGCTTACTGCCAGTACTCCACTCTTTGATTCCATTTTCCTGCTTGATTTTATCTTCCGTTTTTCTTCCTCAAGTTATTTTCCTCTTGCGATTCCTCCAACCTCCATTCACCACATCGTTCAAAGGAGCTGGTTTCTTTCGCCATGCTTCTCAAAAATTTCCTTTTCCTGGGCCTCGCAGTCGTCTCGGCAGCGAGTCCCAATCTCGGACATCTCGAGACCAGAGCAAAGACTGGCACAGCCGTCGGCACCAAGGCGGGCAGCAACGGCAAATCTGGCGGTGCAACCTGTCCAAATAACATTGCAATCACAGGCGCGACTTGTCCTGGTGCCAAGTTCACCGCTGTTGAGATTGAGAAGGCCGTGAAGCAAGCAAAGGCCATGAAAGTCAAGGGCAAGACAGGCAACGGACTCCATTTTCCAGCCAAGTACAAGCCCAGCAAGGAAACAAAGGCCAAGGGCGTCAAGAAAGCGAAGGGGCCCAAGGATGGCAAGGCAGTGAAGAGAGAAGAGCATCCTCTTCAAGCACGACGTGCGCGCGGTGGAAGAACCAGGACTAAAACCCGGCCGAAGACTACGAGGCCTAAGAAGACGCCGAAGAAGAAGAAGAAGAAGACGCCTAAGAAGACTACACCGAAGAAGACCCCGAAGAAGACACCCAAGAAGACCCTTAAGAAGACAAAGAACAACTGCAAAGCAGGTGGCAAGGCTGCCAAAGTCGGAAAGGGCGTGTGGATGTTCCCCATTCTCGACAAGGGAGTTTGGAAGCGTAAGTACTTCGCATTCTTATCGAGTATCACGAGCTGACTGGTGGTCCAGCCGGCGTCTTCCCTGACATCAGCTACATCATCCTGGACAGCAAATTCAACTACGTCAAAACCACCGAGAGAAAGCCCGGCTCAGCGGAAGAGTATCAGGTTTGCGCCGAAAACCCGCAATCCAAGAGGGGCGGCAAGCCCAAGGGCGGGGCTGGCAAGGGCAAGACGGTCTAAACTTGGGCATAGCCCTTGTGTTACTGTTAGTAACAAACTTGATTTGAAAATTGTTTGCTGCGTTTAGTTGTATTTGTATGAATGGTTCATTTGCATATTCAAAGATTCTTGAATAAATAGCTCGCTCAATCATTCGAAGCATCAATTATCGCTGGCATGAATTGCTTCTAGATACCGTTACAGTATCCATAAGACAATACCCCACGTTTAAGCGGCCCATTTGAGATATGTGGAATATAAGAGTTAAGGCTTCTTGTGGCTCCAGTTCCATACTCGACTTCATGATCGCTTCAACCTGGAATACCTATAGATATTAGGACTATCTACATTGGCCTAGTGTGGAATTTTTTTGAGCCCAGTTGTTACGATCACAAAGAAGCACGACAGGGAATCGGCAAAGGATGGCGCAACAACGAACATGGCTGGTAAAGGACAAAGAGCCAACGACAACGACGCCGCTCAGAACGAGCGAACACCAACATCACGTGACGAGACCCCGGAGAAGCGAAGACTTGGCGGGACCTCAGGTTCACGTGACGAGACCCGGCATAAAACGAGACCCCTAGGGACCCAGCTAGGTCCTAGGACCTTGAGGACTTGGCGGGACCTTAACGAAGGATTAGAAGACAGTAAGGGATGGAACGACTAGTATTTAGTTAAGGACATTCTTTAAACATTTCCTACTCTTTATAGTTAACTTTAAAAGCTTACTTTTATATCTAAATTAAAGC